TCTCTCTCTTTCTTTCTCATTCTATTTTTTTCTATTCGACAATTCCCAGAGAAGTCGAGCTTTCTCGCTACGATTGACCTCGCGTGGTTTGGAAAGCCGCAGTGTGAGAGGAAGACCCAATCCTCCAGGCACGGTTTCTTGCTTACTTTGCCCTCAGAGGTAAGCGCGAGGATTGGTGCACGACGGGAAAGGAAGTACGACAGCGAGAAGTGGAGAGAAGGAGGACTACGACAACTACGACGACTACGACGACTACGACGACGACGACGACGTGGAGGACGAATAGGACGAAGAGGACGAGGATGAAGAGTGGAAGAAGACGAAGCTGGAAGGAGGATGTGAATGTTGCTGAGCTAGAGAAGAGAGAGAGGTAGGTAGGTACGTAGGTAGGAAGGTACTACGTGTGCACAACGAGAAGGAGGTATATACCTATAGATAATCGAATTTACGGAGGGAAATTGGCGAGGGAAGGAGATGGTATAGAGGGAATGCTCGAGAGTGTGAGAGGAACCTGGAGATGGAAGGCTCTGCTGCTGCTACTGCTATTGCTGCTGCTGCTGCTGCTGCTGCTGCTACTACTGCTTCTGCTGCTTCTCTGCTGGTGCTGTTGCTGCTGCTGCGGTAAACCCTCAACTCTCTCTCTCTCTCTCTCTCTCTCTCTCTCTCTCTCTCTCTCTTTATATCTCTTTCATTCTATCCACCTCGATCTCTCTCTCTCTCCTTTCTCTCCTTCTCCGTACTCTCGAAGTCGAGGCACGAAAGAGGTGGAGAGAACGAGGAAGCTGTAGGAAGGCCTGTACGATCAGAGAGAAAGAGAGAGAGAGAGAGAGAGAGAGAGCGAGAGAGAGAGAGAGAGAATAGTGAGCACAAGCGCGGGAATATCCAGTGACGTCGACGTACACGTAAATGCGGAATATTTGATGGGCTGTCAGAAGCAGTCTCTGTAATCAGCGGTCGGTTTGTTTGCGCTACTCATACAGAGCCATCGTCTATATATCTTTCACCCATCTTCATTCGTCCCTTCGTCTCTCTACTTCCTTCCATCCGAATCCACGTACTACGTACTCTCTCTCTCTCTCTCTCTCTCTCTCTCTCTCTCTCTCTCTTTCTCTCTCTATCTATCTCTTGCTCTCTCTCTTTTTCTCCTTTATATATTTCACGGTTTTAATACACATAGGAAAGTTCGAACAGCCTCGTAAAAGCACACCACTCTTTTACCAAATTTGTGACTTTATATACTTACTTAATAGCAAACGGTGGACATTACATGCCAATGAAATTTCATTTTTAACGCGTCGTTTTAACGCCTCTCACGTCGAATCGATTCTTGATAGCTATCGTCAAACACAAGTACAATACCTATGCGTGTAGTGCACGTATGTGTGAATGCGTGTATATATATATGTATATGTATGTCCCCTCCTTTCAATCGATAAATTAATTCTTATTGTTAGAATATTTTCTGTTCGATTTGTAGAAACGAGAGAATTGGATAAAAATTACAAAATTTTATCTACCGTATAGATTATTAATTTTTTCTCAAACGTTAATAATCTTCGAATCGCAAGTAATCATTTAACAAACGAAATTGAACGAACGTCTGGTTACTTTTAATTCGTGAATACAAACTCCAATACCATTGATATAGATACATATATACATACATATATATATATATATATATATATATATATATATATATATATCTATGTTTTTACTAAATATTTTATGAACGACGATTTTATTTCTCGTTGAAAAACGTGACGAGAGTATTTACAAAATATATATATATATGTATATATATGTATATCCTCTTCAATATTACATTTATTTTGATATCGTTATTCTCGCACAGAGAAAAAGCATAGAGTTTATCGATAATGAAGATGAACAACACAAAGGAAAATAAATTTTAATAACGAATACAACACTCCCATTTTGGATTGTTTTATGAAGAAAATCGAAAAATGATACGGTCAAATGATTTCTCTTTTTTCCTTTCTCCATCCCCGAATTCCCTCCCGCCTACCATTTTCATTTACCGTTTATCAATATATCGAAATATGGTATTATTACAAGTCGGAATGGTAGTAAAATGTTACGAAAAACTATTCATACTTCTCTTTCACAATCGAATCATTTGTATTATTTCAAATAATCAAATTATCGTTACATAGTGAAAAAAAAAAAATCAATCATTTCGTTCTCGACGTTATCGAGCATTCGAAAGTTTATTTTTTAAATATACGAATATATATATATATATATATATATATATACATATGTATATATATTTAAATTCAATACGAATGAATTTCTATTGAAAAAAAAAAAAAAAAAAGAAAATCCATCGGAAATATTTGAAGATCGACAGGAACCAACTGAGAATACTTACGAATCCTTTTGCCTCTTCGAAATATATATTTTACATGAGTAACGCGCAATACCGTCCTCGGTAACAGCTACGAGAGTAAATTCCGAAACGTCGAAATAACATAATAGTAGAGTACTAAGTATATAAGGTACGAACGAAGAAGAAGAAGAAGTAGTTGGTTGATTTTGATTCGTAGATAACCAGAAGATCTTTATTAGCTTTCGCGAATATCATATGTTGCGTTAAGCAATAGAAGTCTAGTCACGTAATTTAATGCAATATAACGCAATATCGAATATGTAACGAGTTTTCCCAAACTATTATACTTCTCCTTCTCAATCTTTCGTATTGCTATTATATCATATTCTCTCTTATTCTTTCTTTCTTTCGTTATATTTATCGTCTCCTTTTATCTTTTCCTCTTTCATTTTGTCTCGTACTAACGAGAAATATAATCGCAAGATCGTGCCAAACTACAAGGACTTATATCTTACCCTCCGATAATCTTCCTTTCTAACCCTCCTCCACTCAGTCGAGTATTCTGGAAAGATTTTCCTCTGGGAGTTCATCCTCGTGGATTTGTATTTTCGTTTGCACGTTCTATTCACCACGAACGAACGTAATATGGACTGTCGGATACATTAGTATTCTCGTTTGCTTGATCTCTCTCTCTCTCTCTCTCTCTCTCTCTCTTTGTATTTCTCTATCACATATTTTCCACCCTCTCAGTTTCTTCTTCATCTATCTTTCTTTATTCGCCCACTTATATATATATATATATATATATATATATATATGTATATATATAATAACAGATGAGAACGAATTTGCGTGTTGAAACGTGACGATTCGATGAAACGAATGCGAAGAAGGTAGAAGAAAGACTATTACGTGAAAGTACATTATACAACGAACAACTCTATCTACGCTTTGTTTATAAACAAGACAGATTATTGATCGCTCTTAAATCGCGTTTAAAATCATCGTTTTGAAACTATCGGCAGTCTCGTTTATTTATTTACTTTCTTTCTTCTTTTCTCTCTCACTTCATCTCCATTTTTCTCTTTTCACATGAACCAAACGGTATGACAATTCGATCTCGATTTCTTTTACCTTGAATGCTTCTCTTAAGTTTCTCTTGCTAAATTTTTCTCTCATTTTTTTCACTATATATATATATATATATATATATATATATATATATCTTATTCTCTCTCTCTCTCGTTCTATCTCATCGTTTTTCTCTCTGTCTCTCTCTCATTCGAGTCGGAAGCGAATCGAGAAAGCGTGGAATCGCACGTAATGCCTCGTTAATGGTCGCTACTGTGTCGGTGGCTCAACGTTCCCCACTTTTCCGCGAAAACGATTTCTTTTACTTCTTTTCCAACGAAGGAAAAATGTTCCGAAGGAAAAGCGAGTTACGAAAAGTGTGCGAGAGAAAGAGAGAGAGAGAGAGAGAGAGAGAGAGAGAGAGAGAGAGAAAGAAAGAGAAAGAGAGAGCAAACGGGTGAACGACATCGTCGGATAACGATCGATCGTGAACAGAATATTTTCTTGAAAAGGAAACCTCCATCTCCATCTATTTCACCTCTTACGTTTTCTCATGAAAGATCAGAAATATAGTATACCCATATACTACCACTAACATTATAACTCGAATATATACGACAAGAAATTTTATTCAATCGTCAGATTTCATTTCTTTTCTCTCTCTCTCTCTCTCTCTCTCTATATATATATATATATATATATATATATATATATATATATATATCTATTTATTTCATCGTCATTATTATCGTCAAATTTATTTGCGTGTATTTCTAAAAATTCGTAGCAACTTGGAAAAATTTTAAATCTCCTTCAACCGAATGATATTCACGTAATTCATAAACGTTCGAACTAACGTACGCTAATTCGTCGAGCAAGCCAATTCTAAGCTTACGTTCGTGAATTTAATGCTGAATGTACGGCAAATATCGAAAGCTATCGATACGAAGGAAATCGGCATGTCGAACGCGAAGTCTCTTACTCTGATTCTCTCTCTCTCTCTCTCTCTCTCTTTCTCTTTCTCGTATACGTCCTTTTCGTATATAACACGGTAATACGCGTCAATGAACTCGGAATATTTTCGTATTTCTAGCAGTCGTGTGTAGATTCTCTATAGGGGAATACCTTTAAACCGGCTCAATGTTTAAAATTAGCATTAATATAAGCAAAATAGAGAAAGAACGTAAACGTCAGCGTCAGAAGGACGTGCATTGTTCGTTGGAGTACTCGTTTTCGCTGCGATCTATAATCCTACCCATCCGGTTCTCCTCTTTCTCATTTCGTTTGCTGTTACGAGAAAAGATAAGTAGAGAGAAAGACCGATCGAATCGCTTTTCAAAAGGAAACCTCAATATCGTGTATATATATCTATGTACGTATATACATACATACATACACACACACACACACACACACAGAGATCTTAATACATTGATCTTTTATCAAGCAGTCTCTTACCTGTTAGTCGGAGTTGGATTGGCATATGCCACACAAGGTATCACAACGGTGTCTTTCAATCTAACTGACTTGTAAACCAGCTTCTCGTTTATTATAGGTGGCATGGAACCTCGAAGTTCTGAAAATCAACAAAAGAAAGAAAAACAAATAACATGGTATTATTATCAAACTATATTGATTGAATAGAACAAATGACTTTAAATAGAAAAGGACATCGTACGAGACAGTTCAGGTCTTGTTTAATATTTTTGTTTTTTCTTTTCTCTCTTCATATATATGTGAGTACACGTAAATATGTATTTTCACATCTTATTCCCATTATGAAAATTATTAAAGATACTCGACTGTTCTCTTTTACGTTGTTCATCTTGTATAATTGATTATATGAATGCATAACGAGAATGCATCAAGCTTTTCTTATCCGACGGTGTATATAAATAAACAAGTGAACCAAAAAAAAAAAGAAATAAATAAATAAAAGAAAAGGAAAAGAAAAGAAAGAAAGAAAGAAAGAAAAAAACGAATATTTTCGAAAAGGTTGATATCGACGATAAGTTATTAAAATACATCTTCGAAAGAGGAAAAAATAAATATGCCATAAGATGCATTCAAGCTTTTCCTATCAGACGATGTATATGAATAAACAAGTAAATAGAAAAGAAAACAAACAAAAAAAAAAAAAAAGAAATGTGAAAAGAAAAAAAAAGGAAAAGAAAAAAGAAAACGAAAAGGAACGTACTTTTCCAAAGATCGATATTGATGATAGATAATTTATAAAAATTCATCTTTCAAAAAAAGGAAAAAAGTAAATGTGCCATCTTATAGTAATATCTTGAAAAGACTAGAAAGACTTGCGTAAATTTGCAGAGCTAAACTAAAGAGCGCCTTCGTTCTTATTTTAACATCAACCTTCTTGAGGTAAGAAGAAAGGAGGTCTTCTTTTCTCTCTCTCTCTCTCTCTCTCTCTCTCTCTCTCTCTCTCTCGCATGCTCGCTTTCCTTCCGCGATGAGTTTATGTAAGTTTGTTCCCTTGATATACGGAAAATTTATTCCATACAAGTAGGTAGAACGGCGGAATAAAGAAGAAGTAATTGGACTCGGACGAAAGTTTGAGAGCTACCGTGCTACAGACACGAGAGAAAAGAGAAGAAATATTGCTTTGCCCGTCCTCGAACAGTCGACGCATTAAAGATCGATTCGATTCCTAGGCGAACCCACCAAAACTCTTTTATTAACGTTACGATGAAATGATTTATTGCGGCTCGTTGGACAAATGTACAATATTTTTCCTCGACGTAAAAATTCTACGAAAAGTCATTGATATTTCTGACTTCAAATGAATAATAAGAAAAATAAAAATAATAATAATAATAATAATAATAATATATATATATATATATTTATACTTATGTATGTATATATACGCACACACGCATATGATTTATATCATTTTTCTATATTTGTATTCGTACCATACTCATATAAAAAATATTATACATACATGAGTATAAATAAAGATAATATTAATGTTTTAATTGTATGATTCTATTTTTAAAAATGTATATATATAAATATATATATATATATATATATATATATATATATATATCTACAATGTAAAAAATTAAGATTATTATAAATATACTCGGTATCGAGCACGATATATATGGAATTGTTGTAAAATTGAATTGAATTATGACGACATGATAATCGATATTTTTGATAAGTCAATAATTTTATCGTTCGATATTATTGACATTAATGACGAATGTATTTTGTGTCAAATTTATTTAAGTATATACTCGTGAAGATATGGCTATTTCCTCCCCCGCCCCCTATAATAACGAGTATACTCATTATGAAGAAGTTTTTGTATATAACGACGAGTATACTTGTCATGCAAAAAAAAAAACAAAACAAAGAAAAAAAAAAGAAGATCAAAAAAGAAAAGAAAACAAAAAGGAGAAATTACCTTTTGAGTTAAAATTTTAATGAAGAACTAACAATCCATTTCGTATATTTAAGATTAATATTTTGTAACAATGAAATAAAACAAAAACAAAAAAAAAAGGAAAAGAAAAAGAGGGAAAAGAGACGAAAAAAGAAAAAAGAAAAAAGAAAATAAAAACAAATATAAAAAAAATTCAGTAAGACAAGAACAGCTTGATCGTTCATCTTAATATTCATCTTAATATATATATATAATTTATTTCATTGTCGTTCGAAAATATTAAAAAATTTTTAATTGACAATTCACGAATATTATTTGATTTTCAATGAAAACTTTGCATTCAAATTGCCGAAGATTTTGTTTTCTTTCTTTTCTTGTTTTTTTTTCTTTTTTTACACGTGACGAGTTGTACTCGTCAAGTACAAGTTAACAAATTAAGAGATAATTAAAAGTACGATAAGAAAAAAAAGCAGAGAGAGATAGAGAGAGAGAGAGAGAGAGAGAAAGAGAGAGAGAGAGAGAGAGAGAGAGAGAGATGAAGAAAAAAAAATTGATAGTGATAATGTCACTAGAGATTTAGAAAAGAACTAAAAAGAGATAGGAAATATCCTCAAAGATCCTTCGGAGGATATTCTTTAATACAGCAGACATGAGGATTTCTCAGCGTCTTCTCTTGCATCCTCCTTTACTCCACCTCCCCTCTCCCTCCCCCTCCTCCTCCTCCTCCTCCTCCTCTTCCTCCTCTTCTTCTTATTTCTTTCTTTCTTTCTCTCTTTCTTTCTTTCTTTCTTTATTTCTTTTTATCTACCTTTCTCTCACCCTTTGAACCAAACCAAGCTTCCTTCCTTCCCTTAGGACGAGTTCATGTAAGTTTGTTCCGTGATATACGGGAAATGTTTTCCACGGCGTGTCATAAATAGCTCGGGAATGAAAAAGAAGGGAAAGAAAAAAAAAAGAAAAAAAAAGGGACAAAGGATCTCTCGCCGATGAAAGGAAGGAGCCAGCACGCCGGAAGAAAAGCTGGATGGACTGAGGAAGGAAAGAAAGAAAGGAAGGAAGAGAAGGGTAGAGGAAGAAAAAAAAAAGAAAGAAAAAAGAAAAAGAGAGCGAGAGAGAGGGTGGGGGAAGAAGGAGAGATAGAAAGAGATAGAAAGTGGATTTCAATGGAGCAAGAGCATCGATCCCGAACGTTTAATGGGGAATTATGTGAGTCCCGTTCACCGTAAATGTTGAATCGCATTAATGACATTTTCACTTGGTGGAATTCTTAAAAGGAAAGGTGATAACGATAATTTTCTTGTCTCGAACGACGAAGAAAAAAAAGAAAAAAAAGAAGGAAAGAACAAAAAAAAAAGTGGGAAGATAGAAATTCAAGCAGAAAATTTACTTAGAATATACAACGATCATTTGTTATCTTTTAAACGGAAAGTACGGATATAATGTGGATAATTTTCTTTTCTTTTGTGTTTTTCTTTTTTTCTTTTTTTGTTCTTCCCTTTTTTTCTTGTTTTTTTTTTTTTTCTCTTTTTTTCTTTTACGAGTACATATCTCTAACGCAAACTTAATTAACGTTCGGCCGAATGAGCTCGCATTAAACGCGTGCTCGTTCGTGCAAAATGACACGCGAATACTTTCCCTCTCTATCTTTTTCACTCCCTCCCTTTCTGTCTCTCTCTCTCTTATACTGAACATTTATCTTTTCCCTGTTGGCTCGATGAAATATGAAATTTTGATAAAAACGGAATATTAAGCTCCCGACTATAAATTCCTTTCTAATAAAAATATCGATGCGCAAGCGTATTACCGTAGGTTTAAGATTTAAAAAAAAAGGAAAAAGAAAGAAAGAAAAAAGGCAAAGAGAGAGAGAGAGAGAGAGAGAGAGAGACAGAGAAAACAGAGAAACAAAAAATATCGAATAAAAAGTGTCAATCGAAAGCAAAAAAATTGCCGAACATACACATACGTTTTTTATTTTTTTCATATGTCGCATCTATCTAATCCTAATAATATATCCATAAATATTCAACATAGTCGATAAATATTTCATAAATGACAATTCTCTGTGATTGTTGAGAAACGTTCTGTTACATTTTTAACGTGAAATTTAATGGGACAGATTACGTTCGTGAATAATAATTATGAGATTTTGTTATTCTATACGAAAGATTTATAATTAATGAAAGACGTTCGGATTAAAATTTTTTGGGAGAAATTTTTCAAACATCATGAATGAATTTTAAATGATATAAAATGACAGACATAAAAAGGAACAGAGGACGAACGAATAAAAGGGAAATATTAAAGAAAAAAAAATATATATATATATATAAAGAGAGAGAGAGAAAGAGAGAGAGAGGGAGAGAAAGAGAGAGGAAAAAAAAAGAAAAGTACAGAATGAAATGAAACACGCGTGTAAATTCCGAAAGTTAGTTCCGAAAAGTTGTACGAGCGAGCGCGCAAGAGTTAGGAAAATTTAATTCGCCCTTTTCCGCGATTTTCCCTGATTTTTCCCGAATCACATTTTTCTCTATTATTATATTCCATTGTTGTCTCCATGTATGCACGTACCCCTATATAACTTTTTCATTGCACTGGATAGTAACGTAACGAAGTTACCGGACTGTCCTTCTCAAGAACGTATATAGCGTAGATATTTCTATACATAGGAACGTAAAATGAAATACTCTACTTTTAGCTTGTTTCCATTGACATTGTGATTTATCCACGTTAAGACTTATCCACTTCTTAATTTTTTCCCTTTGCAAATTTCTAACCAAAGTTATGAAAGTTCTTGAATTATTTTTTATTCGTTAGAAAATTCAAAACGAAATGCACAAATCCCTACAAAATTTTTTTTACCCCGAAATCATAACCAACCCACCAATCAATAATCATTCATTCTCTTTGCATTGAATATTGAAAAAATCTAATATCAGATAATACAAGAAATTTATCCGTTGATAAAATTAATATCACGTTTCAATTAAGTTTCGATTTACGAAACGGATAATATAAGATACTTGGAGAAGTTCGCTCGTTACTCTTGAAAACTGCTGTAGATCAAGGTTTTGCTTAATTTAGTAAACGGCAGACCGTGCGAATAAGACGCTAAGAGATAGAGAAAGAGAGAAAGATAGTAGCTGTCGTGGAACATGCAAACGATCAAA